AATAATATATATATATATATATATATATATATATATATATATATATATATATATATATATATATATATATATTCGTTCCCCCTCTCTCTCCTGTCCCCAGATCTCGCTCGTCACCCTCGCCTCTATCGCTTATACAAACAGAAATTATTGTATAAATTATGCTTCTGCTTGTATAAAATGAGAGAAAATTGTACAGACACTTGCAAATACATATATCTTCGTCCTATACATTTATAATTGTACAATTTAAATATTTTTCTGCCCAATTTTCTTTTGTCTTTCTCTCTTTCTCGTTTTATATATACACAAACTATGCAATTGATTTGTATACAACTGCTTCTTTTGTATATTTATAGCGAATTGTACAATTGGTTTCTTTGTATATATATTGCGAATTATACATATTTATGTTTGCTATGGAGCGTAAATATGCAAAAAAATTTATAACATACAAATATGAATTTTGTGTTTGTTATATGTGAAAGTTGCTCATTTTTGTTTGATGTTTATCTACACTGCTTACAAATTAAATAATTTGATTTTTAAAAATAGAATAACTATTTTGTTTGTAGTTCGTGATGTTTATTAACAACACTTGATATTAAATAAGGTGTGAAGCCGAGAATTATAGTTGAAGGTTAATAGGTTGGAACTTGGAACACGTATATGCTAGTAGGTAGTAGTGGATTGTCTTGATACCCTTGTTAGTAGTCATATTCTATGCTTGTAGTTCTTGTTATTCAATTTTATCAAAATCTGTTTTTCGATATAGCTTGATTGTAGTATTGTTCTGCTACTATATGTGTTGCTTTGTTGTTGTGTTTTATTTCTTATGCTTTATTATGTCTTTTTTCTAGTTTGTTTTTGTCTTGAGATAACTGACTATCGAAAACAACTTTTCTATCTCATATTTGACATAAAGGTAAAGTCTGCTTAAATACTATCCATCACACACTTCAATTTTCCCCAAAATTATCTAAAATTTAATTTTGACAAGCCCAATTATAATCCTGTATATCTGAAGTTAAAACCAAGTTGAATCCACCAGACCTAATTATGTGGGCTTTGATAACAGATACCCAAATGCTATTGGGCTGGACTGTTGTAAGATAAGATTCAAGGGAGATTGACATATTGGGCTTATGATATGCAATTTATTGGGTCGACTTTCAATGCAGCTCAAATTTCCAAAATTAACCGGTTTGGTCACTGGAAATCCCGGTTCGGTTCGGTTCGACAGACCTTTTGAGCTTTAAATAAATAATAAAGATCGGCTATAACTCGGCGAGTTACAAACTTTCACCGTCGTTCTTCCTGGTACTGCTTCGAGGTCAGTTTTCGCTCTCAAAGACTTATCGCGTAAGATTTCTTGAATGAATTTGCTTTAATTTTGTTTAAATTCAGTTTTTTTTCGCTTCAATCCCTTTTTATATAGTTTTGATATAAGTCTTAGGGTTTCTAACTTTTTATTCATGTATTGACATGATTTTTAAAGCTTGTGTGTTAATAAAGCTATGATCTTTGTATTGGAGTTGATAAATAAATGTTTATTGTACTTGAGAAAATTGAGTTTATGGTTTCTCTGCTGACCTTTTGCTGTACATTCTGCTGGAAATTTTGGTTTTTTAAATTTATGAGTGGATGTTGTAATGTGCTGGGTTGTTCATGTGCTTTCTTCTGGAAAATAAGTCATTTAACTTCGTTGAATAGATGTTCGTGTGATTAGTGTAATGTAAACTTGATATCCGGAATGCTGATTTAATGAATGCAATGGAAAGGTTTGTGTTTGGATCATTTTTAAGTTTGGTGCCCCTGTTGAAGTCTTGGATTTTTTGGTACATACCCGCAATGTTTTAAAGGAAGAGTTAGGAATCACGTCAGGGTTCTCCTGCATGTGAATCAGGCTTTAAATGTTCCAGGATGTCCACGAGACTGAAGTCTTATGGAGCTTACACCCCAGTAGGCAGTAGTTTATGGTTCTAATGAACTGGTACTCTGTTTCCCAATAAGAGAGTTGCGCAACCTCGTTTCTTGCTTATCTTTTTCTTTCATTTGTGATGGACATATTGCCTTGAACTATATGATTTACTTGTGTATTATGGTTAACTTTACTTCAACTATCAAGCCATACGAGTCATGATTGATAAAATGTCCGCTACCTTTTAAACACCAAGTACTTGGTATCTTTAGGTTCATGTGCTCGCTGTTTCTTCCTTCTCCATTTTACAAGGGGATCTATAGCAAGTGAATTTGACCCATCGTACAAGGTCAAGTACAACATCAGTACATTATTCACTTCTATCAAGGCGGCAACATTGTCATTCATGTTTCTTGTAATGATAAATCAATTTGCAGCTGTTGTTTGTAACCAATGTTCACCTAGGTTATAGCTATTTTGAAGTGTCTGATTGTGATCTTTGTGTTACTTGAAAGATCTCTATTTTTATCTAGTTGTTCTTTGTTCTTCTCTGTTTCATCCCACTCGTTTTCATCTCATTCTATATCTCTGTCATATCAAGTTATTTGGGGTGTGGATTCCCTTAAAAAGTTTTGAAATTTAACATTATGAAACAAGGTACAAGGTTGTTGCAGCTAGGACGTTGTTATGTCTTAACGAATTGCATGTGACTATAGGTTTTACTGACTATGAATTCGGCTTTATTTTTTTCCTGTTCAACTTTACCCTAGAAGGTAATTTGATGCGATTCTTATGGTTTAGGAATTGATTGAACAGGTTAAGCAATATGGCTGAATTGACTGCAGAAGCCCAGCTTGTTCAAAGTTGAGTTCTTTTATTTAATGTAGTTGTCCTCTTCCTCTTATCAATTCTATCAATTATTTTGTAACAGGGGCATGGCCTTTGATATTTCATGTTTAGAATTTTCGTAATTTTGTCAAGCTTTAATTCATGTCGGTCTCCTGTGATTGTATTCCATTTAACATCTTGATGCTAAACTTGTTTTGAGATATTGAAGTCACAGATTAGGCCCAAGTCTAGCTCTCTCATTCTGTACTGCTGACATCTGGAGAAAATTTCTTGCTTCTTCATGATTCAGATAATTTAGAGAATGTCGATGGCTTCCAACTGATGCCCAAACAAGATACTGCGTGCCTTCCTAACATGCAGATGCAGCCCGAAGAAATTGGTAGGAGATATCAATGCTCCTTTCATTCATGTTATTGTTTACCAATTATATTCATTATTGTTTTTCCAAGATGCCGGGTTCACGAGAACAATGTTTTCACCTGTATGCGTCTGTTTCCAGAAAGGAAAGCTCGGGTGGATGCTGTTTGGGAGCAAATGAACAAAGGAGTGTCTACGAGGACCCTGTACTCCATAATAAACAAGCCTACCTCAGCATCAAATAAAAGTTCCTCAAAAAGTTCCTCAAAATCGTCATCTTCTGTGAGTATAAGACCTCTACTTTACAAATTGTATGAGATATGTCCACGCTGTTACTCAGATTTGTGGTGTTACAGTCTCAACAGAGTTGGATGACAGTACTGGGATTGTCCCAAAAGAAACCATCAGAGCCTGGAAGAAGCACACCAGAGAAGTGTCTTAGGACTACTCAAAATGATACTAGCGAGGAGTCAAAGAAGCTTGCTGCTGCTGCACTCTCTGCAGTAAAGGAGGCTGCCACCGCTGCTGCCTCTGCAGGCCGGGTTAAAGTGGTAAGTCTATCTTGCTTGCTTCATGATACTTCTGTGGACTACTAGCTTTTCATTTTTGTAGCTGAAGAGTTGCGTTCAGAGTTGGTAATATAATCATAGAAGACAGGTGTATACAGCTCTTTTGGCTGTAAACGGATTCTGATTCACTTTCTTTATACTTAAAATGACATCCTGAGGAGAGTTCAAATTTTAGCATATAGACTTCTTTTTCTTTTCTCTCTGAGTGAAAAATGCTCGACACCGTTGTCATTCAAGTAACTAATCTCCAACACATACATACCCAAAAAAATAAAAGGTAGAGAGTAGTTGCTGTCACTTTAGTGGTCTTGGTACTGTTTATCCTGTATGTTTGATAGTTATTATTAGGAAAGAGGTTGAGAAAATTTGCGGGAATGCTTACACGGAATTGTCTGTCTGAACCACTTGATGGAAACTTCTGGATTTAATAATGTCACTCAAGATGTGCCTAAATGCTTCTCAGATTTGTTGTTACCCCTTTTCCCTTGACCTATTCTAATTTTACAGATTACTGAAGTGCGAGATTTTGCTGGTGAAGATGTTGAAATAAAGAAATATGTTGACCACAATTCTGCAGAAGCATCTGATAAAGGCAAAGGCCCCGCAGCACCTGCTTCTGCTGTTGATATCATCCTTGAACAAATAAAAAAGAAGCAGAAACTGAGTGTACTTGATAAGACAAAGAAAGACTGGGAGGGATTCAAGGGAGAAAATAGAGGGATGGAAGAAGAGCTGGATGCTTACAAGAAGAGTTCCAATCAGTATCTAGACAGGGTTGGTTTCTTAGAGCGTGCTGATTACCGAGAGTTTGAGCGGGAGAGAGATGCCCGTCTTGCAATGCATGCAAAGAGGAAACCAGAAAGCATGAGAGAAGACTACTGAGATACTGGAGCCCTGTGAAAGAAGTTGTCGCATTCTTCTAGCTAGAAAAATGTGCGTCAGTGGCTTTTGGAGGCCTCTTAGATTATAAGTTTGTTCTATCACTAGCAAATATTGCCAGGGGTTTTATGGGCTCATGCTTGGGAACATGTTCTTAATCTAATTCCCTTTTCCCCTTCAATTAACATTCTTTTACTCAATCCAATCCACTTAGTCAGTGGGGAAAAGATCAGACAAAAGAGCTGTCTTGCGATGTCAGGTTGATTTTGTACTGAGAGTAACGAATAAGTCGGCATTTCTTTGAGTGCAAGGGCAGCTTCAGTGGACGAATCTTGTAATCAAAACCGGTATCTGAAGAATTATTCATCTTCTAACTAAAAGCATTCTCTGTACAATTACCGTAAAATCCAATATTTCCTTCGTACAGTCCCAACAAAACATCACCATCTGAGGATATAGATTTTGAACATATAAATTACTAAATTAGTACAAGGTTAATCAAATTTCATAACCTGAACCATTTTGCAAGAAGAAGAATTGGAATAAAAGTGCAACAATTATTCGAATATAACACCATGAGTGATTCGTCTGCTGTTCACACTTGGACAAAGACGAACAACTTTTTGTTTCTGTAATTAACTAAAATTTTCTGTATGAATATAAAATGTATTGCAAACCAATGATGTTACAACCTCCAATCTGGTTGCCGAATTACTCAATCTTCCTCTTGTTTCATCTTTAAAACCTAACATTGATGTTATTCACAATTTATCATCTTCAGCTTCCATCCAAGTAGCTATGTTTCACAATGGAAGCACTGAACTTCGACTGCGATTATGTCTTGAGAAAAACGACCTACCCCCATAAGAAAATGATCTCTTCATCTCTTCTTTATGCAGAGTTGATCTTGAATTTTCACCAACAGCTTCTCCTCCTGACAACAGAAACATACTATCAAGACCTCTACTTGAACTAATTGATGAATCCACTGAAACTGATCTCCTAATTGACTCTACTTCCCCATCTCTACAACCTCTCTCAACTTGCAAAAACTCTTGTTGATTGACCCCATTCTCACCAATCACTACCTCATTGTTACTATTCACTTCTCTCTGTTCATCATCTTCCAGTACCCTTTCTTCATAATGAGCACCTAAATTCAACTCGATTGGAACCGAAGCAGGTGCATTCAAACTGTTCGATAAAATGCCTGAACGACACAAAGGGCAATTTGTGTGTGATCTTAGCCATGTATCTATGCAATAGATGTGAAAGGCATGTTTACAATTTGGGAGTAATCTAAGAGACTCTTCTTCTTGAAATTCATTTAAGCAAACAGAGCAATTTGATCCTTCAACCAAACCATTCCCTGTTTTATACTTGAAAATTGTGATCTTATCAATAACAGATGGCTGAAGACCCACAGTGTTGATGTACCAAATGGGATGATCAATAACAGGAGCTCGATTTTCGTCGAAAAGTTCATCATCTTGTGCTGGTGGGGTTCTTCTCCTGTTCCAGTTGAAGCAATTCTTGACAATGATCAAATAGTAGCTGACAAGAATGAAGAAGCTAGCAAACAAGGCAACAGATATTATCACATAAGGTGATATGTTCTGATGATGTTTGCTACTTAACTGAGGCTGCAGCCAAGACGACGGCGGAGGTGGTGGTGGAGGTATGTAATAATCTAAATCTACATATGGATAACAAGCATAAGGACATGTTGAATCACAAACATAGATACAATCTGCAGATTGGTTTGTTACTATTTGAAATAACTTTCTGGTGTTCATCATGGCCATTTGATAGATAAAAATTGTGTCTTGATGAGGTTTCTTGATCTTGGAAAAACTATAATGAAGTTAAGATGATTTAGGTGATTAGTCATTGAGATAATTAGCATGTTATTTTCTAAAGTTTTGAATAAAGACTTTTAGACAGGGCTTTCATTTTCATTTCAATTGAATATGTGAGGTTGATGGCTTTCTTGGAATATTTTATTATTTCCATGAATTATTGAGAAACATTGCAAAATTAGAGTAAATTATATAATAAGAATTTAATTAGTTGTCAAACATAATGATAGATAGTGTAATAGTTTAAACTAAATTCCACGAGATTATTTGACCCTTGAACCTAATTAGCATTAATATTTTGTAATCATATTGTATTCAGCTAGTCAATTTTCTAGTATGGTATAAAGAGTTGCATGGTTATGGTATTAAAGATGTTTATGTGATCAAGTCATTAAAAGGTGATTATAGTGTTAATCGTTAACCTGGAATAAATGATTAGTAGCCTACGATAATAAGTTCATTATATTGGTAGTATAAAAGAATTATTACATTAAACAAGTGAATTATAGAGTGATAAGTCAAATTTTGACATATGAAACAAAATTTTGGCGGCATAGGTGATAAATCAACATCAAGATGGTACCATAATTAGAAAAATAATTAAGGTTATTTGCCTAACGAATAATTAATTTATCATATTATATATCAGGTAGTGGGTATCTGTCAATTTCCTAAGCGTTGAGCAAATAATAGTTGCTAAATCTCAATCACTACTAGTATTTATTTTGTTTTGTCCAATCAATTTCTTTATACTTTTCCTTCTTATTTTGTCAATTAATAATATTGAGTTTTATGCTTTTGCTTAAGCCAATATTCTTGAGAAACAAAAGACGTTATATTATTGGTAGTTTCTCTCTAGGCTTTGTGAAAATGGGAGCTAAAATTTGGAATTAGTTTAAAGATTTACTAGTATTAAATGGGTTAATTATCAAATTTAGGCCAGTAAAAATTAATTAAGTAGATGAAGGTGCTATAAATTTATAATTCACCCGCCCTATTTTCGGGTCAATTTGGGATAAGGCAAGATGAATTGGGGAGTGTTAGGTGAACTGAGCAATTAAGCCAATTTTGGAACCCTTATTTAAGACACAGTCGAAATTTATAAATTTTTATAACAAATTCAGACATGTGCGATTAAAGTTAAAAAAATTGTGTATGAAGTTATAAATATATATAATTTTTATTTTCTTCTATGGTCTCAAACTCCAAAACTATATGTATATGATCAGTATATAATTTATGTGTATCAGTTAAGTGGCTATTACATAGAGATTAAAATAGTTAGTAGTTGACTTGTAAAATTATGCTCCTACTCCTATTATGTCTAACTTAAAGTTAAATCTCGACAAAATGGCACAACATAACACTTACGGATTAAATTAGTAATAGATAGTTCACTTTTAATTTTTTTAGCAAAAAGAAGACTTTGTTTTATTTGTTTGACATTGAATAGTTATTTTTCTTTTTTAACAATATATATATTTTTGTTCTATTTATTTTTCTCAAATACACATCTCAAAGATTATTGTTTTATAATTCCTATTTTACCTCTTTCTTTTCTTTTTTTTTTTAATTTTTCAACAATTTTAAAATAGAGTTCTTCTTTTTTTCTTTTTTTCTTTTTGTCTCCTTTTTCTCTTCTTTCATACTTCTATACTAATTCTCTTCGTAATTTCAACTCTTCTCCTTAATTCAATCAGTTTCTAAAAATCAAATATAACAATAAAAAATTTTAATGGATACTTCTAAAAATTATCTTTATATATATTTTTGTTCTTGTCAAGTTAATTGTTTTCTTATTCTCCTAAATTTACTATGTCTATGCAAATTAAATATAACTGAATGTTTATCGATTAATCATTCCAATAATTTATTTTAGTTGATAATTATGTAGCATTTCTTGCCCCATTAATTTTGAAATTTCGTAATTTGTGGAACTAAAGATTTTAAAACTTTTTTGCTGAAAATTTCGGTAATAATTTTTTGAAATTTTTGTTCTCACTTTCATGGGTAAGAAAGATCTTTGTAAAAAATCAGAATGATGATTTTGATGAATACAACCCAATGTATACCAATGCATTTCATTCTCAATTTAAATTAAAGGATACTAGTTTATTATGTGAATATAAATCACTGAATACACGATGAATATGAACTAATGTATACATAGTGCAGTTACAGTATCATAAAAAAAACACATGTACAATTAATGAATAAAATTTATATATATGTCCAGTGGCGGAGCTACATTGCATTAAGGGGGTTCATCCGAACCCCTTTCGGCGGAAAATTATATTATTTATACATGGTTAATATAAGTTTATATGTACATATAGGAGATGTCGAACCCCTTCGGCTGTCTATTTTTACAAATTATGAACCCTTTATTAAAAATTTTGGCTCCGCCTCTGTATATGTCATATTAATCTCATTCTTGTATTCATTATAGTAATATGTATAATTGATGGTAATATTCTTATGTATACAATATAAAGTTTATGTATACGTACAAAATTATTGTATACATCAATAAAATTTACATGTTTATTTTTATGAATATTTTTTGTGTATACAGATTCTTTTGTATGTATACATTATGTAATCACAACTTTTATTATTGTATAATTTATGCATATGTATTATTACAGTTTCTAATAATGTCATTTAATATTATTTGATTAATTATTATCGATTATGTGATAATTAGTACACGTTAGAGCATTAATAATATATTTTCTTGCCTTAAAAGTAGTCACAATCTTTTAATAAGTTATTTAAAGAATTTTTAAAAATTCATTTCTTAAAAGTTTGTGTAACCTTTTTTTAATAGGTTAATTGATAAATATATATATTTCACTTCTTAAAAGTAGGCAATCAATTTTCTAATAAACTAATTATTGTTGTTTGGTAAAAAAAAACAATTCATAAAGTTATAATCAAATATATCTTTATATTTTTGTAAATTGTGTTACTATTTTTTTTAATAGACGATTAAATAAAGTTGAGTTTGAGACTTTGAAGAAATTGAAAAGTTAACTTCCTTAATTATAGGAGTTAAAAACAAGGAGAAAAAATAATTCTACATCTCCTTAATTAATCGGGGTTGGTTGCACATGATTAAAAAAAAACTATAAAAAATTAGTTTTATTTCTTTTCGCCTAATACGTGCTAATTTTATTTTAGGCTATTAATTGTTAATTATTATTTGACTATATATTGCCAATTATATATAATAGTTGTATGTCTGTATCAATTCCTCTTAAATCTTTATTTACTGGCCCAATGATTTGGGTTTGGATATTTTCACGTGGAAGGTCTCAAGTTGAGATCTTTTGCCCATGAAAACAAGAAGTTTGGCTTTTGGATCGAGCTCATTGCATCAGATTTGTTTAGTGTTGATTACCTCTCCTTTTTGAGGTATTGCATCCTGAGCAAAAGTTTTACCTATGCATATCTAAATGATAGCAACTATAAATTTCCCTTATCATCCAAAAATAAGAGTATGTTTGAATTAATTTAAAAGTTAATCAAACTTATTTTTAAGTCATTTTTAATTTTTGAAAGTATTTGACAATGTTAAATTAAGTTAAAAATGACTAACATGTTTTAAATCAAAAGCAAGACTCCCCTTGCCTTTTATGACCTATTCAATCAATTAGCCTTTGTGTGTGGCCCAATCTCACGACTCCAAGTCAATGATATACAGGGAATTAAAGCTAATGAAAATGGACATGGGTAGTCATGAATTTTTTTAATTCTGCTTGCACTATGGGCACACATTCAAGATCAAAATTCGATTACGAGGTAAGAAAGGATCAAAAGTTTAAAATCACTCATTTACAATATGATCAGTTTTATAAATTCTCACCGATATATGAATTATATTGTTAAAAAGTGCACTGATGAAACATAAGTAGAGAGCTTGCTTGATTCCAAAGGTTTTGAAACCTCTTATTTGTTAAGATGTTAGGACAAGTAATTGAGTCCAAATTGTGTACTAATTTTTGGTAATCCAAGAAAATTGTAGTCGCTATTCTTTGAAAGCGCATAAAACAAACTTGTTCCTATGCAATAATTTGCATTAAAAACATGAACCACGTCAGAAAGGCCCATTGCAACAAACTTTGATTAAGAAGGTTGATGGTGAGAAAAATCAAGAGTCCGGAGTCTAAAGGGTGAAAAATGTTAACAAAAATTTTAAAATGGTATATGAATTTTTTTTTAACCAAAACGATAAAATTGCTCATGAAGTAGCGATTTTATCCGCTTGAAAAAGTAAAATCGCTGCAATAGCAGCGATTTATTAAATTTGATTATTTTTTTTAAAAAAAGAAACAAAAAATAATTTTTAAAAAAATTTGAACTCAAGTCGCTGCCTCGACATAACAAAAGTATAATAAAAAATATATATATTTTGAAAATCGCTCCTTCGGGAGCGATTTTGTATAATTTTTTAAAAAAGAATCAAATTTAACAAATCATTATTATAGCAGCGATTTTTTACTTTTTTCGACGGACAAAATCGCTACTTAGTGAGCGATTTTACCGTTTTAGTTTTTAAAATAAATTCATATACAATTTTAAATTTTTTATTAACATTTTTCATTATTTAGGCTCTGAACTCGAAAAATCAATAGTCTCTTATGTGAGAAACCACTGACCAAACCCAACCCCTATGAGTACTTCTTCTCTTATGTCATTACTCTAAAATTATCGATAAGTTATTTCGTAAATAGTGACATTTATGCATTTTAGAAAGAATTAATATGTTCGATTAGAACCATATTGATGTGATAGTTATACACTTATTTTTTTAGCAAAAATGTTCCATAAACTGCGGCCACACTCCAATAATCAAGAAAATACATTTTTTGGCCATTGACTTTTGGTAGATAAAAAGACACGAAAAAAATTGTATATAATAGCAAACTAATAACCTAAATTAA